CAGTTTGAATTCTATAATAAAAAAAGTAGTCGGTAGCGCTGCAAAAATTACATCATAGTGCAGTTCATGATGTAAGCCTGACCGTCTGCTTTAGCTAAGTCAGTACAGAAGAGAAGAACGTCAAACCCTATTTTATTTTAACAAACAATTTTATAAATTACCAACTAATATTGAAGTAATGGAGTACTTAAAGACCACACAGTGTGGAAATCACACAAGATTTTCAGTAGCCATATTCTGATATCCCCATGGCACCCTTCATTTTGTTATCAACTAAAATCTAATTGTAGGCCTGTATTAAATGCAAATAACACACTATTTTTGGATAACAATTACTGTACATATTAAATTCGATTGAATCCAATTTGGGATCATTTAGTGTTTGTATTTTGATGTTTTCTTAGTTAATTGTTAAAAAAAAATCAGTCAGGGTACATATTAGCGTGGATTAAGTTGTTAGAAATTTGATACTTTAGCGACAAGAACCGATGACCCATTGTTACTTTAATAGCTACTATTTCTTGGTTTGAAGGACAGATACCAGTGCACATCCTCGACAGATGCGCACGACACCTCTATTTTGAGGTTTGAAGTCAACATTAAAGACATCTGTTTACCAAATATTTGTGTAAGAACAAATAGCTGAACTCACTGTGAAGCGCTTAGAAATGACCAGTGCTATACAAGACGATTTATTATTATTATTATATTAAAATGATGATTATTTTGTTTACATAAATGATATAAATGATGATTATTTTGTTTAAATAAATGATTATTTTGTTACATAAATGATGATTATTTTGTTACATAAATGATGATTATTTTGTTTACATAAATAATGATTATTTTGTTTACATTTTTAGATAAATTCAAAACCGTAATGTGTTTAAAAAGAGAATATTAGATTTGTATTTAATTAATTTGTGAAAAATGGTGTTTATTTTGTAAATAGAGACAGTTGTTTATCGTTGTGTTACAAGCTCTCATTTTGATAGATATTGTGCATTTAGCCTCAAGCCACAACTATAAACTGCTAGTAATTTTGTAAATTACTAATTGATAGAGGCAGAAAGGAAAGCTTCATTGTTAATAGACTTGTGTTTGGGTTTGGTTGACTGAACTATTGATCTGCGGTGGTTTGTGATGTTGATCTTACCGATCTACCTAGTTTTTCCGACAACTGGTATAATCTATCTTTATACACACCAGTCTTGGTAATATTACCAAACTTAAATCAACCGTAACAGTCTCCTGTCGTACACCATACCTATCCATCATCTTTCTTTCACTGTTCATTATAAATAATTAAATATCGCAACCTTGTGACATATTGTCAGTGTTTCGCTGTGATGATTCAACAACAATGCACATTAGATGTAGAATTATTTCAGGGAAGAAAGGAAAAATTCTCTTTTGTTTTGTTTCCTGGATGAAAAGACCAAAGGGAAATATTGAAGAAAAAAAAAATGTTGACAAAAAGTATACTGATTAAAGCCTTTAGGTTGAGCCTGTCCAACCTCGTGGGTTTTCTCCGGGCCTCCGGTTTCCTCCCACTGCTAAACCCCCTACGCACAAGCGAATTATGTAAATAAAATTAAACTGTATGTTAGTCCCGAAATGACCTAGTTTGTGTCGAGTGGATGTTAACCCATTTCTCTCTCTCTCTCTTTCCCAGCCTGTGTGTGACAAGGGATAGGGTCGCCTCTCTAACCTTGTAGGTTTTCCTCCTACTTCAAATATTTTTAAATAAAACTGAACCATGTTAATCCCAAAATGACCTAGTTTGTGTTGAATGGATGTTAAACCGCATTTCTCTCTCACCTTCCCCGATTAAAGCCTTTTCGAAGGGAAAGTTAGAAACAATGATGAAAGTCTCCTATTCTAGATAAAAGCCTTTTCATCCGTTAGTGTTATATACAGATGATATCTAACGGTACACATGACGATTGAGACTAGATATTTGTTAGATAATAAACTTACATGTCACTTGCATCCGTGGACAAAACAAGCATGATTTTTTTCATTATTTTTTTTTCTCTTATCCAATTTTGTGTCAAATCGTCTCAATACCACCGACAGAAAGTATTAACCAGTCAGGCAAGCTAAGTTGTTGATCGCGATCAGGATAAGTAAATGAAAAATTTATAAAAATCAATTAGTGATGCATTGCATCCGCTGAAAAAGGTGTATCCCCTTGGGACTTGTATACAGAAACTTTCATCTATTTATTATAAGTTGGAAATGGTTGTTCTTTTTATAATGGTTAAATGGAATGTTGGGAGAATCAACTAAAGCACCACACTTATTTTGATGGAAATGGATGTTATTGAAAAGCTGACAATGCAAACACTATGTTTAATTAATAAGATCATAAAGTGAAAAGATGTGACAATTGTTCCATGTTGGGTGATCTGGCTCGTAGGGTAGTTGAGATAAAAAAGAAAAAGAAAATAAGATTGGTTCTGCTTCCCTAATCTATCGGTACTGCCATTGTTCTTTTGTTTAACACAGAATACTGGTCACTTTTAATCTTGTTGCGGGGATTGGATGGCCGAATGGTTAGCACATGCGTGCTGTATCATACGGTCTGTCATTGAGTCAACTGGCGGGGTTTCGATTCCCCGGTTGTACATGGCAAAGAGTAGGGTCGCCTGTCCAACCTCGTGGGTTTTCTCTGGGTCCTCCTGTTTCCTCCCACTGCTATAGACCCCTGCGCACAAGGGAATTATTGAAAAAAAAAATTAAACCATGTTAGTCTCTTGCTCTCTCTCTCTTTCTCTCTCTCTCTCCCCCTCTCTCTCTCTCTCTCCTCTCTTTCTCATCTTATTAGCCTGCTTCAATTTGCAGTAACTTTTAAAGGATATGTCTCGCAAAAAGCCCACTCACTCTTTAATTTTGTCACTTTGTTAAAAATGAAAGTTACGGTTCTGTAACCAATTGTAGATCAAAGCACAACATCCCATGTGTGCTAGTAACATACCATGATGCTAGGCCACACCTTTCTGGCAATTTGTGCTTAGTTCATATTCGCACTTACTATGAATAATATTTATCAAATATACTTTGTATCACTCTGTCGCTGTCATGGCCATATTTTATTTATTCGTAGCACACAGCATGAAATATAGCTGTCTTTATTCGTCTGTTTGGTGCAGAAAATAAGGACGATAAACCACATTTTATTTCGTTGTTGTATTAAAAATAAAGTCCTGGGTTGTTTTTTTTCCATAAAATAATTGTTTTCAATTCCGTCAATCAGATTTATCGTATGTTATTAACTATTATTAAGTGTGGTTTTTTTAGCATAATTTACTGTTTGTTGGACTCAAGAAATGATTTCCTCAAGACATAATAACACAAGATTGTTATGTTTTATTGTATTAGTTTTCTTTTTGATCGAGTAAATAAGTTTATAATTAAGGTTTATAGCTGAACATGTAATGTTCAGTAATCGAACACTTAGCCTAATTATACCTCTAATAGTGGCTATCAGGGGGAATTAGCTGTACAACTGATTTAATTAAATGTTGCCCTTTTCTTAATGAAATAATTTCTAACAACTGTTACATTCATGAATAACAACATGTCCTTATTGTCATTTATAACCTAAGTTAATGTCACATAATATATATAATTTATAATCATCTGTTGATATACTGTATATATTCTTGCTTATATTTTCAGCAATGTCCAATGTTTTGAATTCTAAAATCAATTTTACAAATGCATCAGTTCCAAGAGTTTAGAAATAATAAATATTAAAATACCCATACTAAATATTTGTACATGATTTTCTATGTACATAATGTTTCCCTGTGATTCGATAGAAGGAATTTGCGAGAAAGATAACTGGATGGCTGAATGGTTAGCATGTGGGCGTTGTATCATAAGGTCCGTCATTGAGTCAACTGGCATGGTTTCTATTTCCTAGTTATATGTGGCAGGTGGGTTTTCTGCGGGTCCTCTGGTTTCCTCCCACTGCTAAAGACCCCTACGCGCAAGCAAATTATTGAAATAAAATTGAACCATATGTAAGACCCGAAATGAAAGTTAAACCCATTTCTCTCTCCATCTTTTATTTTAGCCTAGCAATCTTTCTTAAAAATAACTGTAGTAAGGGTTGGGAGTCATATACAATCCGGACGAAATAAACATATTGTGTGATATACTTGTGTATAACCACTATTTTATATCTCTCTAAACCTACAGAACATGACTTGATCATTTCATATCAATCACCTATATTCATTGAATTGCATGACTAGTAAACATAAATGATTTTTTTTTTATCATTTGACTTTCTGCTTCAGTCACATGTGCTAGCTAGCTAGCTAGCATACGCTTCTTGAATTAATAATAGAAATGGTTTTGTTTCTATAAACTTCCGTTCATTATGTTTGAACGAATAAAAAGATAAAATGAAACAAAACAATTTTATATTATTGCTTTATTAATGACTAGATAAAAAGAAAACATTTCAACATGTGTCAAAATGTAGATAATGATCAATATGAATTTCAATAAAATAAAACCCCACTGAATTCATGCCATGAAATAAAGTCAGTGAAGCGTTTCAGCTTATTTGATATAATATATAAATATATATGAGTGTTATGTTCACTTATAAAAATGTCGATTAGTATGTTTAGATATTTAGTAAGTGTTATTTAGATATTTAGTAAGTGTTATTCAAATATGCATGTAATAGATAGGCTTGAAGTGTGAGTCACCCTTCACAACTCTAATATATTTTGTTCTTCCTGCTTATATGCTGCAGGCCCGATTAACGCTATGCTTCACTGATTTCTCAAATCTGTTTGGGTTGCCTTTTGATCAGGTTCACCAATAAATACCTGGAAGCCGGTGTCTATTAGTTATTGGGTGTAAAAGAGAGAGTGATTGGTGGTTAGTCTCTTAGATCAACGATTGATTGATTTGATTCAATTTGTTGTTCACACCCTTGCCTAAAAATATCATTTAAACTGTAACCTTTGTATGGAATAGATCTACTCTAATACTAACCAATGATTTAACTAGCAGTATTTCCTTAGTAATACACCTTCATTGAAGTAACCTGCAATAATTGCAACTGGTTTTGTATAGAGGAAGCATAACAAAAGGCTGTATTGAACAGCTTGTCAATACCAGACCAACGCTCGCCAAGAGAGAGAGCTTATGAGCCGGCCCATTGCACAGTCGACGCGATACTCTGATACTACTACAGTTTGTCCGGCAGGAGCCATTCGCTTGAAATCATTGAGGGAATAACTAGCAACCTGATACCTCGCACGGTCCTAGTCAGTCGCAACCGGGCCCGAGCAAGGATGCATCCCTATTATTATGTGCAGTATATACCAATGAGTTTAAAGCCAGAACTGGTGAGTACATTGAACATCTTATCTGCCAAACTCTCCCATGCTCCATTGATTTTTGTTTTGAGTGGGAAGATTACGGTGTTAAAGATTGCTATCATGTTGTGAGGGCTTGCCTACTTTCTGCTTGATGGCGTTGTAAAAAAGCCTTTAGACATTTCAGTCCTTAAGCTTTTAGGATGATATTATTAATAAGACGATTGTTTTAGATAACGGCCATATTGACAACGATTTAAGACAAGTCATTGGCTTTATTTATGTTGTTTTCCTATTTTGATTACTGTTATAGGATTAAAATACAGGGGGGTTAAAATGACACCAGTACAGTTTTAAGTTGATCAATGGATAACTTGAATCGTTAAACTTGTATTTTATGTAGTCAATATGTTTATACAGTCTAAACAAATTGACGAGGAAGTGATTGTTGTTTAAATTATGGTAATATTTAAAATATGTAATATTATGATCACCTTCATGTCTCGGGTTAAAACTATTCTCACACAATTTATTGATTTTCTGGACACCAAGTCCTGTTATCTTTGTTTTTAAAACATGGGCACATTATTTCTGAATATAACAGTATATAATTTATATTTAATGTTATTTGGATTTGAATGTGGAGCCATTACTTCTTGTTGGTGTTAGTCTTGACTTCTGGTTTTCAAAACATGGGCTCAATAACGGTATATAATTTATATTTAATGTCATTTGGTTTTTAATGTGGAGCCATTACTTCTTATTGGTATTAGTCTTGACTTCTGGCATTTCGTTGTTTCTAAATGTGTAGAGATAGGCTTATTAAATTACATTTGATACAGAAATTAACATTTTATGAGGAAATAATTTGATAAATTCTTGAAATGTTATGTTTATTTCTTATTGCGCTGTCTTAAATGTTGCAAAAAATTACCTCAGATGATTGATATTGTTCGAGAAATGGAGGCTGAAAAAATAGTTTTTGTGAAAGATGAGTTGAGATGCAGACACTCTGGACATATTGATTGCTACAATGTACCCATATTATAATTTTCTTTATTTGCTCAGTGGGTATTTTGTTTGTGAAAAATGTTCATAGATTTACGATGATTAATAAACAAAGATGCCAGCAAATACACAAAGATCTTTAAAAGATGTAGATTTATTCTCTGATTATTTTTTAAGAGCAATTGCCAGATAAAAGAATATTAATAAAAGTTAACGTTTTGTCCAAATGTTCTTTTTCATTAATTCGTCGAATATTTGTTTAGCAAATGTGTCACAGATGGACAGTCATAAAATAAATGACGTCTGAAGGTAAAGTGTTTAAAATTTAGTGGCTTATTGTTAATGCACTTGACTATTGGCAACAGGTGTTAACGATAGTACGAGTTATAACATCATTTGTTTTGGCCCCGATAATGGTGTTAACATTTATTTCAATTTGAATATGTGAGGTTTAATTCATAAGGTCTGTCATTGGGGGTTGGCTTTCCGAATATATCATAAGGTCTGTCTTTGAGTCAACTGGTGTGGTTTCGATTCCCAGGTTGTACGTGACAAGGAATAGGGTCACCTGTCCAACCTCGTGTGTGTTCTCCAGGTACTTCAGTTTCCTCCCACTGTTAAAGACCCGTATATAGCGCAAGCGAATTATTGAAATAAAATTGAATCATATGTTAGTCCCGAAATGGCCTAGTTTGTGTCGGGTGAACGTTAAACTCCATTTACATGTATCTCTCATTGAGTCATTTGGTTTGGTCTTGATTCCTACCTTTTTATGTGGCTTTGGGGTTAGGGTCGCCTGTCCAACCTCATGTTTTTTCTCACAGATTCCTCCCACTTCTATAGACTCCTACGCGCAAACAAATTAATGAAATAAATTTGAACCATAATTTTATCTTAGTCCCAAAATGACAAAGTTTGTGTCAAGTGGACATTAAACCCCATTTCTCTCTCGTTATTTCAATTTGGTTAGATTTTATTCATAATGTCAATCGATTGGATAACCATAGTTGTATTCAGTATTGCATCCAACCAATACCACATCATATTGAAATAAATAACTAGTCAACCTCTTTGCGATCAAATATATCGATTCCTCATTTATTTGAATAATTTTTAACACCTTTATAACTTCCACTGAAAAGAGTTTGACATTGTGAGAACGGTTTTATTCGTGTAGAAATGAAAATGGATTATTTGATTGAATAAAGAACTAGTCATGCTCAATATCCATCTTATTACTGTTCAAATATTTGAACTTTTTTTTTTCCTTAAAGGCTCGAGGTTTTCGTTGAACTGTTATTTTAATCTTTATACTTTTACTTCAAGATGAAGGGAAAATATTTAGTTAATAGAAAAACTGTGTTTTTTTTTGTCTTAGACATTTAGTTCTATCTATATAAGGAAGAGCTGGATGGTTTTGAATACGAGGACCTGTCAGAACGTGTAAATTCTAGCCACAGCCAACAGATCTAACAATGCCTGTTTATATACTAGACTGGTTGTTATATAGACTTGATTATCATTGCCACTGGGCCATTAACAAATCAATATCACAAATCCCAATTTATCTGACACTATTTGAAAGTATTTTCCATATTGTATACATTTGAATAAAAACTTTCGTTAATATTAAAACGGCATGATTTATTGTCCAACCATATGCTGTTAATATATATAAGAATAGGTTGACTTTAGTCATTTGGTAAATATGGTTAACCGTCCATTATCGTTCAGTCAGTAAGGTGCTGGCACACTAACCAGTCCAGGTTTTGATGAAAGAGAGAGAGAAATTATTTTCCATATTGTATGCATTTGAATAAAAACTTTTAATATTAACATGGCATGATTTGTTGTCCAACCATATGCTGTTAATATATATAAGAATAGGTTCACCTTAGTCATTTAGTAAATATGGATAAGCATCCATTATAATTATCGTTCAGTCAGTAAGGTGCTGGCACACTAACCAGTCCAGGGTTTGATGAAAGAGAGAGAGAAATTATTTTCCATATTGTATGCATTTGAATAAAAACTTTCGTTAATATTAAAATGGCATGATTTATTGTCCAACCATATGCTGTTAATATATATAAGAATAGGTTCACCTTAGTCATATAGTAAATATGAATAAGCGTCCATTATAATTATCGTTCAGTCAGTAGAGAGAGAGGGAGTTGCTATTGTTCAAACATAATATATCGGTATAATAAGAGAGAGCGAAATGGGGTTTAACGTCCACTCGACAAAAACTATGGTTCAATTTTATTTCAATAATTCACTTGCGTGTAGGAGTTATTAGCAGTGTCATGTATTTCAATAGGTTACATTGAATTTCACCTAAAACAAGCCTAGAATTCGAAACAACAATTGGAAGTAGAACTACTGTCCAGCCAAAAATTTCCTTCATAGCACCCTGTATGGCATATGTCCGTCTTCATTAGCCCAGTCAGTGCACAACAGTAGGACATTTAACGCCTTTCCATTTTAATAGGTTACAATATGATGTATACTACTGTCTTAGAAAAAACAGCAATTCAGTAGGCTGTAGAGCCGCTGTCCTGGCAAAATTTCCATCATAGCACACTGTATGGCTTACACCGTCTTCATTAGCCCAGTCAGTGCGCAACAATAGGACATTTAACCCCTTTTCATTTTAATAGGTTACAATATGATGTATATACTACCCAATGTTTATGTTGTCTTAGAAAAGACAGCAATTTAATTTGGTCCTTCTGACATTTTTGGTTTAGAGAACAATAATGAGAAGTCTGGGACACATACTATTGATTGGTCGCGTTTTTTGGAAAAGATCGACATAGAATACTTAATTAAGACCCGTGTGTGTTAAGACTTGTGCCAAATAAATTAAGGGAAAATGATGTGATATGTCAAATAGTAAAGAAATAAATGCTTGAACATAGATAAATTGACCCTAGGTTTAGTCAGAACCTACTTTTTTTTTTCTTTCTTTTTGTATGGACATACCTATTTTGTGTATAGACAGACCTGTCCAGACATATATAAATCTTTTAAAGAATTATCTTAAACATACAGCTATTTGTCCAGATTAGAATATGAATATTAAGTACTTCTGTCACCTACACTAAACCTAAACCATGCCTATATAAATAAAACATCTAGCGTTTTATAGTTCTGTATTGAAATCAAACAGCTTTCTATATTGTATATATATATATAGTTTAGGTATTGAATATATAATATCCCTATTTTTCTCTTGTTGTTGGGTCTGACTAAATTCAACTGTTGTCCTGTGCGAATTATCCCCTTATATTCTTCTATCCATTGTCACTAGTTACAATCAGGCTTTCATACTACTAAAATACGCTAAAAAGAACATCAATATCTAAAAAGCGATTCGATTGTTGTAAAGTCGTGAATAGCGTTTAAATTTGTTCTCAAACATGTACGACCATGTTCTACTAATATGAATTCATTTTTTCTTACTTATTTATTACGAGTGTTATAAAGGATTAAATCGGTTCCCTGTCCAACAAATCCCTCTTACTGTACACAGATTAAAGAATATTATTCCAGTTTATAATTTATTTTTTTGAGATCATTTAGTTTGCTTTGCTGAAGTGAACCTAGATATAAAAAGTAAACATTGACTTTTCTCCTTAATAATCTAAATCTAGAAATAATAGATCTTTTAAGAGTCAATTATTAGGTATAGAAAAATAAAATACCCCAATAAATGGAGCAGTATAGAAAGAGAAATAATTCATAATCCTTAATGTTTGTCGGAGATATGTGTTCCAATTATTTTTATTTTGGTCATTTCCTTATTAACATGTATTATTAGACCATGTTTTCTACTATTTACTGATGGCAAGTTTTAATTTGTTGACAAATTTGCATTAAGTTGTTTGTATTATTTTGTAGTTCACCTTCAGCTTAGCTGCTACAAGTTATATTGAGTAGCAAAATTCTTAACTAATTTATTTATTTCCAGTATGAAGTGTTTGCTCAGCCATCTCAATGCTCACATTCAGATTGTTTCT